CTGTGAAAGGGTAAGTGGTGTTAGGGGACTGAACCGGTTCTTCCGTATTTCGGTTCTTTGTCTCTCTCTTTCTCTTTCCTTCTTTCTTTCTTTCTTTCTCGTCGCTCTCGCTCGTTCTCTCGTTCTCTCTCTCTTTCTCTTTCTCATTCTCATTCTCTTTCTCTTTCTCTCTCTCTCTCTCTCTCTCTCTCTCTCTCTCTCTCTCTCTCTCTCTCTCTCTCTCTCTCTCTCTCTCTCTCTCTCTCTCTCTCTCTCTCTCTCTCTCTCTCGCTCTGAATGAAAGCAAAATTGGTAGTTCTATTAAGGCCTGGTAAAGATCCAGACACTCTCCAAAAGGCTACATCCTTATTGTGTATACTCTACAAATTGCATGATCACATTTTAATGACCCGCGCGCAACCAACCATTGAAGAGACACTATCACCAGATCAAGCAGGCTTCCGACCAGGCAGATTGTTGCAGTCAAGTACTGAATCTCACTCATAACATTGAAGATGGATTTGAGACGAAACAATCACAGGTGCAGTCTTTGCCGACCTCATGGCTGCAACGACACTGTTAGTCGCAGAGCACTCCTTCAAAAAGGGGCTAAAATTATTCAAAATATAACCACAGTCCGCATAATCGAAGCACTACTTGTCAGTTGGTTATTTTTTTATAGAAATGGATGGGATCCGAAGTAGATGGAGGATCCAAAACAACAGGCTCCCCTAGGGATCTGTACTTTCCCCTCATGCTATTTAACAGTTACACTAATGACTGGCCACATTTCCAGACATACGCAGCTCGTAGTACCCATATGAGCTAGATCCAGAGCTTAACCATCATGCCGGATAATCGCTGACTCACTAACAGCTACACCTCTGCCAGCCTTGTACAGACCAACTGGAATAACGCCACCCCAAATACGACGAGACATATACCCAAAAACTAATTTTTTTTACAACTAAATGACCCTAGGCACCCACGATTCGGCCACCACGAAGAGAGCCAACGACTCAAGTCTCGTAGAAGCTTCACAACGGTGATAAACCCTGGACCCAAGTCTTGCAAGACGTGGAAAAAAATGGGGAGAAATCTACCACTGTACTAACAAAGTTCTCCCAGATATGAGGAAAAAAACCTTCCCTGTGGCTCGAATCTCTGTCGGAAACAGGGCTAGAACAAAAGTAGGCAGAACCAAAGGTAACCTCCTCGAATGGGGAGTCGCCATAGACGCAGAAGGCCCCTGTGGTGAGGCGACCCAACCCATGGGACATATTCTCCACGGGTGCCCACTGGAACCCACATCCTCCGACGAAGACCCAAAGGACGCAGACAAGAATGCCTTTGAGTGGGCAAAGCTTTGGCGCGACAAAATATTATGATGATGATGATGATGATGACGATGAGGGTGAGGATGATATTGATGGTAATGATGATGATGATGATGATGACGATGATGATGATGACAATGAAGACGATGATGATAATGATGATGATAATGATAATGATAATAATGATGATGATAATGTTGATAATGATGGTGATGATGATAATGATGATAATTATGATTAGTGCGACCCGTAGAAATTCCCTCTCCCTCGACGTTTCTATTTCCTGCTCACAATCCCAAAAAAATTCCTTAAATTCACTTCTCCTGTTTCACTTTAAGCCCTACATCTGCCTCCTCACTCCACTCCTCTTCCTCTTTCGCTCTTTACTCTTTCCTTCAGTCCCTCCTTTCGTGTGTCTTTCTTTTATATAGATATTGTCCCATTTCTATTTTGCATCTAATCTAACAAGGTTTATGTCATTCTCTCACAAGAAAATTATATAAGGATTTTGAGTTTAGTGGCATACAATTATCAGTCTTACTTGACACTTGACACTTTCCTAATGTCTATGTTATTTTTTTTTTCGTTATTTAAGGCAAAGTCACCTCACTGTAATGTCAATTATTTCACGTAAAAAGATAAATAAATACAATATTACATTTTAACCAACATTTTTAATTATCGCGAACGTGTCATGAACTGCAGCATTCATTCTAACTACTAAAACTACGCCTGGCATTACTATCATATGGGTCATGCATTTCTGAATAAAAGATATAATGCGATACCGGTTAAATACGTCTCTTGTATTGTGAAGATATTCATTTTCATTCATAGTTTTTTTTTATACATATTACTACCATTAAAATTAATACTACCATTGCTATTAACAATTGCAGCGGATGAATACATCTCTTGTATTGTTAAGATATTTATTTTCATTCATATTTTTTATACATATTGCTCTCATTAAAACTAATACTACCATTGCTATTAACAACTGCTGCTGATGACAATATTGCAACCAGTCTTTGTTAATCATTTTCAGCACGATGGCAGAACTACGATACAAAATAAAACCAGTATTGTTATTGTTATCATTATCATTGTTGTTATTGTTGATATTATTATTATGCTGATTGTTATTGTTATTGTTGTTTATGTTGTTGTTACATTTATCACCCTTATATTATGATTTTAGTATTATCATCGTTATCACTGTTGTTATCATTATCATTAATATCATTATTATTATCAATATCATTATCAATATCATTATTATTTTCATTATTATTATTATCTTTTCTTTTATCATTGTTATCACCATCCATATTATCACCAGTATCACTATTATTTATCAACAATGATTATCATAGTTTATTATTGTTTAAACATTTGTTTCCTCGTCTGTTACTAAGAAACATTAACCAATATGAATTGATAATTCTTAGTACTATTACGCCTACTACTAACTACAAAAAAAAGAAAAAAGAAAAGAAAAGAAAAACGAAAAAGAAGAAGAAAAAATATACGGAAAAAAGAAATACAGGAAGAAAAGAAAAATAATCGATCTTCTGTCGGCAGCATCCCGGGCCCGAGATTGACTCATCTGTCAGCCTGTTGAATCATTCCCATCCGTTAGCTTCACCATAAGGGTCAACACTACATCTCTTTCTCTTCCCTTTTCGACCAAACTGCAAAAGAAAAGTTTCCCATCGCCGATAAAAATTACATCTAGATATGGAAAAGACGTATTGAGTAACCGAACGAGACACACAGAGAAAGATGGATAAAGATACAGAACAAGACAGTCCGATAATGTCTGCTTACTCCAAGGCCTATTGTTAAACCCTCCCTTTGTCCTCGAGGAAACTGCAAGAACGGGAGACAAAGCTGAAGAGCACTTACGAGAGATTATACATGCCAGTGCCCAGCCTACCCAGAAAGCCAAACATCCCTACAACGTGGCTTGTAACCAGAACTATGAATGGGATATATACGGGTTAAACTTGTGATCTGATCCATTACTGAGGTTCAAAGGGAGGTATAAATGGTTGTTGCCCATCACGACCGCTGATCTGAAATAGCCTATGTTTCGAATTGATTCTATAGGGAGGGAATATATACAAGTGGTTCTTGAAGTTTCCGAGCAGTGATCTGTAAAGTGGCATGTACAAAATGAATACGTACACTGACGTTTGTATATACAGATAGATAAATAGATAGATAGATGGACTGACAGATACGTCGTTAGTCTTCAAACATAGCCTTTAGTCCAAAGCCATAGCGCATTAGACCTGGGGATATGTCTCTATTCTTAATCAAGTATTACGTCCTATGAAAACATTAGAAGGGCTTCGAATTAGAAGGAAATGATTGTGTTTAGGAAAAGGGAGCAATATGGAGAGGAGACAAGGCAGAAGCAGAGAAGAAAGAAAAAAGATGGACATAAAAACAAGAAGGAATGCGAAAAAAAGGAAAGAGAGAGAGAGAGAGAGAGAGAGAGAGAGAGAGAGAGAGAGAGAGAGAGAGAGAGGGGGGGGGGGGGGTAGAGAGAGAAAGAGAGAGAGAAGAGTAGGCAGACAGAGAGAAATAGATAGCTAGAAAGATAGATAGCCATATAGGTTAATATATAAGCAGTTAGAGAGAAAGACAGATGGATTGACAGATACATAGGTAGATACATAGACCGACAGATAGATAGGTAGATAGACCGACACAGATAGATAAACAAATTGACAGATAGTCAGATAGACAGATATATATAGAGAGAGACATACAGATGGATAGACAAATAGATAGATAGATATAGACATACATACAGATAGATACACATACACATAAAAAGACAGACACGCATACACACACAAACAAACAGACAGACAGATACACTTACACACAAACAAACAGACATGCAGATACACATACACACAAACAACCAGGTACACAGACACATGCACACAAACAAACAGACAGACAGATAAACAGAAACCATTCAACAGAGATGTAAAGGTAAGCTGAACATCCGCTGGCTGAGAGTTCAATCCTCTCTCAAGGTCAGCTGTCAGGAGTCAGCTCTGCGGAAATTGGCTGACACTTTCCACCACAAGATAATCACAACAGTCGGTACTAGTGTAGATCAATTTCCTGAACTCTCCTTTCTCCCTCTTTCTTCATTTTTTTCATGGTATTTTTTTCGTTTTTTCTTTCTTTCTTTCTCGTGTTTTTTTTTTTTTTTTTTTTTTTTTTTTTTTTTACATGTCTGTTAGATTTTATTTACCTGACGATATGACGAAAGATTTATTCTTTGTGTATGCGGTATATAGATCCGGGGTTTAGACTCTTTTTTTTGTTTTGATTGTTGTCTTGTTATTCCATTTTCTATTATTTTTGCCGTTATTGTTATTGTTTATTATTATCATCATCATTTTTACATTAATTATTTGTTCTTATTGTTAACGATGAACTGTTACATGCATCGGTCTTAGTTTTGCGAATAGTAATTGTACCTTTCAAAGTATTTGCATAGATATTTTTGTTAATATCACCTTTATCATTAATATTATAATTTTCACGATTAATATCATTATCTGTATCTGTACCTGTATCCTCCTCACTATTATTACTATTACAGTTAAAATCCACCATTTACATTAATTTCTGCTATTATGCTATTATAATGTA